ACATACATACATACATACATATTCTATATATATACATATATACATCTATGATTGGTGAAACCCCAAAAAAGAACTACAAGGGAGACGGTACGTAGATCTGTAGCTCCTGCCATGAGCCTTCTGCCTCTTCTGAGCTAGAGCCTTGCTGTCCGTCCTGGGGCGGAGAAAGCTAGCGCAAGAAGAATCCCTAATGGTCCAGGGTTTCGGGTTTAGGGTTTAGGGATTAGGGTTTAGGTTTAGGGATTAGGGTTTAGGGTTTAGGGATTAGGGTTTAGGGTTCATGTACTCATATAGTATATACATTGGCCCCAAAGTACCTATCTAGGGACTACTTTAAGGCCAAAGTATATACGAGTTAGGTACATGGACCCTTAGGGAATAATTATCCGTCGACCTGACACCCCGCGAGCAGCCTTAAGCCCAAATCAGCCAACCTAAAACCTGGAATCTACCACGACAAAAGCACACTAACCCCTGACACCCCAAAACCCCAAACCCTAAAACACCAAACCGTAAACCTCTAAAAAGCCCTAAACCCCTAAACCCTCAAAGCCTAAACCCTAAACCCTAAACCCTAAACCCTAAACCCTAAACCCAAACTTGTGCACACAGAGACGTTCAGCACCGGGTCTCGTGCACTTTCCACGCTCCGCCGCGTCGGCCGAGGCGCCGCCACGGCGGCTGCGGGTGCCAAATCCTGGACCCGGCTAAGGGGTAATTTAGGGTTTAGGGTTTAGGGTGTAGGGTTTAGGGTTTAGGGTTTAGGGTTTAGGGTTTAGGGTAATGTTTAAGGTGATACACAATGTACATTCCTACAACCCCTAAACCCTAAACCCTCTTAACTCTTGGCCCAAACCCTAAACCCTAAACCAAAACCGGTTTAGGAGTAATGTTTAAGGTAATACACAATGTACATTCCTACAATCCCTATAGCCCCTCAACCCTGTTAACCCTTAGCCCCAAACCCTGATTCAAAAACCCTAAAGCCAAAAACGAAGCGCTTGGAGAAGAGGGTTAGGTTGGCAAGGATCCCTTGGCCGCTTGAAACCTGTAACATGGGGGTTGGATAATTCGAACTAGAAAAGGTTCTTTTGGGGTATCTTAAGGAACACCCTAAACCCTAAACACTAAACCCTAAACCCTAGACCCTAAACCCTAAACCCTAAACCCATTATTCCTGATTAGGCTTCTTCAGTACCTCCTCATTTTGGCTATGATACGTTGTAGTTGGGGATGTGGAGGAGGTTTGGTTGGGCTGAGGGTCCAGGAACTCAGAGTTGAATTCAACCATATACGGTTTAGGGTTTAGGGTTTAGGGTTTAGGGTTTAGGGATATAAACCCTAAACCCTAAACCGTGCGGGGTTTGCACTCTGCTTCACGCTCAGCACGAAACGTGCAAGTACTGCCGTATCCCAGCAGGGGCAGCAAAGTAGGGTATCCCCCCCAAAAAAAAGTTCAGATGTAGTGTTATTAACCCTAAACCCTAAACCCTAAACCCTAAACCCTAAACCCCTAAACCCTAAACCCTAAACCGTTTCTGTGGGCAGCCGAGGATCGGGAACCCTAAACCGCCCTAAACCCAAACCCTTACCATCAAGGGACTCATATTTTAAGGCCTTCGGGCTCAAAGACCCTATTATAAAAGGCTTTTGGGCTATTTTGATGCTAAGGGTAAACCATGATCCTAGAATTCAAGATTTGGGGTCGGCAGGTTCAGGATCCGAGGGGGAAGGGCTCGGGTTTCAGGTCCCCTAAGGGTCCATGTGCCCAAATATAGTCTTTACTTTGGGCCCAAAGTACCCATATAGGGTTTAGGGTTTAGGGCTCTACGGCCAAAGTCGATGGGGGTTTAGGGCTTTAGGGTTTAGGGGTTAGGGGCTTAGGTTTGAGGAGCTCTGGAATCTGGTAGGCTACGGCAATGTGCTAACATGCAAAAGGTGCCCCTTCACCAATAGAATCGAGCTGGGACGCTAAACCCTAAACTACATTCGTTTACCCTTAGCATCAAGATCGCCCAAAAAGCCTTCTATAATAGGGTCTTTGGGGCCCAAAAGCCTTAAAATATGTGCCCTTTGAGGGTAAGGGATTTTTTAGGGTTCAGAGTTCATACCCCCTCCGCTCACGAAGGCGTCTCCTCGGGCTCTACACCTTAACTTAGTTTCTGAGTTCATAAGCCCAGAAAAGTCTACACTTTCAGTTTTATAGTAGGTTATATCATCCCAAAAAGTGTACAGTGTATCTACTCAGCTACTGAGTTAACTGCAACTGCAACCCCAAACTCTTCAAAAGAGAAGGTTATGACACCTGTGGCAGCACTGTCGCACCTGGCAACACTATAGGGATTTGGAATTGCAGGATGCATCACCTGGTCCGCAAATAACCTACTATTCGGGTCTCCTTAGTGTAACTTATTTATATAAATATACGTCCTCAGGCCATCTTTGCCTTGATTAACTCTGTATTTAGGATCTTATAATGGTACCCAAACAGGGAACGGCCATGGAGAGTATAGGTAAACCCTAAACCCT